ATAAGGGGAGCAAATATCTTGTCAGGGTGTCCAATCTCTGTATAGGAAGACATAGAACAGTGAGTGAACTGAGAATCTTTGTGTGACCAGAGTGAGTTTGGGTGGGGGGCCCATGGAACACAGCCCCCTTTGGAGAGGTGGGGAGACCCCTGTCTCAGCTCCCCATGTCCCTCTTGTGAGTCACCCTGTGGCTGTTAGGGGTACAGGGTGAAATGTCTTGATATTGTGTAGACATGGATAGGTGGGGTGGGGGGTTGTTCATTGTTCACTGCCATGTGGCTGCATCCCATTGTTCTATTGTGTGTGTATTGTCTACTGCCACATGGTGTATCCCATTGTTATATTGTGTGTCTTGCTTGTGTTTGTACTGGCTTGGTGGTGGGGGGGGGGGTGTTTCCAGCAGCCCTTCCCTCTGATGGGAGGGCCTGCTGATGTGTTTCCTGTTACTGGGTGTATTTCCCCGCCTTGTGTATTTATCTTGTATCTATGTTAAAATAAACCAGTTTACTTCCTGTCTTAAGAAGAACCTGGTGCTGTCTCGTCCTGTATGGTCAGCGGTGGTGTCCGTGGATAATGTTCGGACAGGGAAGCGGGAGTCTAACGGAAATACCCTAGCGCAGTCGGGGTCCGGTTCTGTTAAACTTTGGGCTGTTAGGAGCTCTAGAGAACCCAAGACTGGAATCAGCACTGATAGAAACAACAGGCTAATCATTTCTCTGCAAAGCAGGGAACACTGCATCAATAAGAGCCAAAATAATAGTCTCTTTTAGTTTGGTAGGAATAGCAAAAAGACTGCAACTTCTTTGAGAAAAGCTCATCAGAAAAAGAAGGAAGGGACTCAGAATCTCAGTGACTGTTGGCCGATTAGTTGCCAAGACTGTAGGCAAATCAGTTACAGTATTTAGCCTGGGTGGCCAGAGTTGGTAAATAACTGGGTAATTTGGGCCATAAAGTCATGCATGACTGCAGAGATAACCTCAGCTGAGAAAGGAGCCAGCCACACCTAATGAAGGCAAGTAATACTCAGAAAACAGGATAGACCCCAGGAGCAGAGGACAACAGGATTCAAGGCTACAGAGATCAGCATCATCAATTGACACGGTACAGGCAGCAACACAGCCAGAGTGTGAGCTATGGTCACACTATACAATGGGATTGTCCCCCCACATATCAAAATATGCTGCAACCGTGGGGTGGTATTGCAACAGGAGGTTGGTCAACAGTTTTTTTTTATTTGCCAGGGTTCAATCCTCCTGTAGGTGTCAGTATAATCAATAGATAAAAGACTTCAATGAACAAGAAAAAAAAAAAATATCCAATGTCACAAACTCTTGTTTTACAGTTTAGTGAAATGAACAGAATATAATTCTCTGTGACAGATTATTTCTGATCATGCCTTTTATTTGACAAAAGCCCTGTGCCTTAACTCCTTCCCAAAGGATAAAAAAACAAAAAATGATCAGCTCATTGGAAGCTGACATTGAAATATATACTGTGCCAGACCTTCAGGTCAAGCGTTGTTTGCCAGATAAAACACTTGTGTTGTAAAGTTTAACAAATGTCAGTGAACACAACAGGCAAGGCCACAGTCATTACTACCTTCAGCTAAGCCTAATAACTTACATGATTGAAATAAGCAACGGGGCAGATGTAGAAATTCTAGATACACTATATGGCCAAACCTTTATAGACACTAGACAGTCCCACCCATAATGAGCTTGATGACACCCCAATCCAAAACCATGGGCATTAGAGAGGAACTGAACCCTGAAAGCTCAGTGCCAAAAAGGTAGGCAGAGGGCCAGGGACTAGCCGTCATATTGCCTGTGGTCTCCCTGCAGTTTATCTTTTCCCTATCAACTGCTAAATGGTTAGCACTTCCGTCTGGCAGTACTAGGGTTGATGGTTTGAATCCCAACCGCGGCACCACCTGCCTGGAGTTTGCATGTTCTCCCTGTGTCTGCGTGGGTTTCCTCTGGGACTCCGGTTTCCTCCTACACTCCAAAGACCTGCTGGTAGATTAATTGGATCTTGTCTAAATTGGCCCTAGTATGTGTATGTATGAATGTAAATTAGGGACCTTAGATTGTACGCCCCTTGAGGGTTAGGGACTGATGTACTATATATATGTAAAGCGCTGTGTAAATTGATGGCGCTATATAAATACCTGTAATAATAAATACTATGCCTTGTTACATAGTGTGTGTCTGTGTGCAGGTGACCATCCTGGTAGAAGCAGGGTTCTGCTTTTTCATCACCAGCAACGAGGACAGTGAACAGCATGTTAGTGACATCATATAGTAGTTCCCAAAACATCACACTGCCAATATACATCTATGAAGCTATAAGCCCAGGAATTCATGGACAATAGGTAAATCTTTCAGAATACTACATGGGTACAATTAACATTTCTAAATGTTCCCTATAACATAGCAAACCTTAACTTTTTGAATTCATGTGCACTTTAATATAGAGTTGGCTATAACAGCCTCTACTCCTTTGGCAAAGCTTGCCACAGCACTTTGGAGTGTGTATGTGGGAATTCGTCCCAGTCACCAAGGTATCGGCTTACAAATCAGCAATCCAATTCATCCCAAAGGTGCTCAATAGGACTAATGATTGCCTGTTCATTCACACCAAACCATATTTTTATGGACCTGGCTTTGTGCACAAGGGCAGTATCATGCTGGAACAGAAAATAGCCTTCCCCAACTGTTGGTGCAAAGCCAAAGTACAGTTGTCTCATGGTTTAGCATTTCGAGTAACCCTTCCCTGGACACGCCTAAGCTCCATTATTTGGAGGAGCGTCAATATACATACAGTCATGGCCGAAATTGTTGGCACCCTTGATATTTCTCCAGGAAATCATGTATTTCTCACGAAACGTATTGCATTAACACATGTTTTGCTATACACATGTTTATTCCCTTTGTGTGTATTGGGACAAAACAAAAAAAGGGAGGAAAGAAAGCAAATTCGACATAATGTCACACAAACCTCCAAAAATGGGCTGGACAAAAGTATTGGCACCCTTTCACAACTGCGGATAAATAAGAATGTTACAAGCATGTGATGCTCCTGTAAACTCACCTGGGGCAAGTAACAGGTGTGGGCAATATAGAAATCACACCTGAAAGCAGATAAAAAGGAGAGACGTTCACTTAACCTTTGCATTGTGTGTCTGTCTGTGCCACACTAAGCATGGACAACAGAAAGAGGAGACGAGAACTGTCTGAGGACCTGAGAACCAAAATTGTGGCAAAATATCAACAATCTCAAGGTTACAAGTCCATCTCCAGAGAACTAGATTTGCCTTTGTCCACAGTGCGCAACATTATCAAGAAGTTTGCAACCCATGGCACTGTAGCTAATCTCCCTGGTCGTGGACGGATGAGGAAAATTGATGAAAGATTGCAACGCAGAATAGTCCGGATGGTGGATAAGCAGCCCCAAACATGTTCCAAAGACATTCAAGCTGTCCTGCAGGCTCAGGGAGCATCAGTGTCAGCGCGAACTATCCGTCGACATTTAAATGAAATGAAACGCTATGGCAGGAGACCCAGGAGGACCCCACTGCTGACACAGAGACATAAAAAAGCAAGACTACAGTTTGCCAAAATGTACTTGAGTAAGCCAAAAGCCTTCTGGGAAAACGTCTTGTGGACAGATGAGACCAAGATAGAGCTTTTCGGTAAAGCACATCATTCTACTGTTTACCGAAAACGGAATGAGGCCTACAAAGAACAAAACACAGTACCTACGGTAAAATATGGTGGAGGTTCAATGATGTTTTGGGGTTGTTTTGCTGCCTCTGGCACTGGGTGCCTTGACTGTGTGCAAGGCATCATGAAATCTGAGGATTACCAAAGGATTTTGGGTCGCACTGTAGGGCCCAGTGTCAGAAAGCTGGGTTTGCGTCCAAGATCCTGGGTCTTCCAGCAGGACAATGACCCCAAACATACGTCAAAAAGCACTCAGAAATGGATGGCAAAGAAGCGCTGGAGAGTTCTGAAGTGGCCAGCAATGAGCCCAGATCTAAATCCCATTGAACACCTGTGGAGAGATCTTAAAATTGCTGTTGGGAAAAGGTGTCCTTCCAATAAGAGAGACCTGGAGCTGTTTGCAAAGGAAGAGTGGTCCAAAATTCCGGGTGAGAGGTGTCAGAAGCTTATTGATGGTTATAGGAAGCGACTGATTTCAGTTATGTTTTCCAAAGGGTGTGCAACCAAATATTAAGTTAAGGGTGCCAATACTTTTGTCCAGCCCATTTTTGGGGTTTTGTGTGACATTATGTCATATTTGCTTTTCTGCCTCTGTTTTATATTTGTTCCAATACATACAAAGGGAATAAACATGTGTATAGCAAAACATGTGTTAATGCAATACCTTTTTTGTGTGAAATACTTGATTTTCAGGAAAAATATCAAGGGTGCCAACAATTTCGGCCATGACTGTACTTTTGGTTCTATAGGTACATGTAATGGTCAGGTGTTCACAAACCTTTGGTCACATAGCATAGTTCATACATGTGCCTTAAATATAAGCTGTAGCAGGGGCAGTGTTTTGTGGCAATCACTGTGGTTGTGCAATTTCTCACTTACACAGGTATAAAATGCTGACTGGAGTGACCCCAGTGAGAGTCTTTAGCTGCTATGAGTGAGAAGCATAATGACACAAACATGAACAACTTGCCATATGATTACCTGAAGGGTAGTCAGTATTGAAATCAGGTCATTACGTTCCACACATCTGCTTAGTTGTTGCTTTCTTACCCCGAGTTGTATGGAAAAAAAAAAAAAAAATCTCAGTTCTGGAACAGTTCAACACCTCACTATGTCTTTTCCTGCAACAAGTTATTGCCACAAGTTTTGAGGTTTTTATTTTTCACCCAGAGCACATCTCATGCGCATGGTGACACATAATCAAAAGACATGTTAAGTAGTCTTTTAGTTCACAATCAAGGATAAGAAGGGACTTTTCAAAGATGAGCGTGATCAGGATCATGGAGCTTCAGCAGCCTCCTCCTCATCTGTTTCATCAATATCAGGAATTATTAAAACATTCTCATTGTCTGAGCCGTTGCTGTCCATCACTTCCGACTGACTGAGAAGTAAAGCGTTCAAGGAAGAATTTTCAATAATAGTTGTGGAATCTTTCATATTCTGCATAAAGTCTATATTTTTATCACCGTCAGCATCACATACATCTTCAACGGTGGGCACATAGTCATCCTCTTCAGCAACTAGAACATCATGGCTGCTTGCTTGCACTGAATCTCTGTCTTTGGAGGGATTCCATCCCTGGAGACCAATGGGAAAAACACAGATCGGAATGGTTTAAAGAGACAGTATCATTCCACCTATAAAACTGCTTGAAATGTAAGGTATACTGTATGTAACAATAACTCACTGAAACTGTATATCCATTAACTATGGTTACTAGTTTATCGTATAGGTCTAAAGCAGCACCCTATGGCAAGAAATGCCTACAACCCAGTACAGCGGATTAAGCTTAAAATAGGAAACCAATTTATGTCAATGAGAAGTCTGGGGCCTTCAAAAACCCCGCCTCTGCAACTGAAATTTTGCTCTATTCACCAAACTGGGACCTGAGCTGGTACATCAGCATGCTATGGGCATTCAAGTATAAACACATTCTTAAAATGGTATTAAACCAAAAAATGTGACATACTGCAGCTTACCAACCATTAGCCACTTGCCCTCCTGAGGATTTACCCCCTTCCTGACCAGGCTAGTTTTTGTGTTATGGCTCTGTGTTACTTTATTACTTGATTATTGTGCGGTCATGCAACGCTGCAACCAAATGAAATTTAAGTCCTTTTTTTCCCCCACGAATTGAGCTTTCTTTTGACGGTATTTAATCGCCTGTGCGTTTTTAATTTTTTCTATAAACAAAAAAAGACTGACAATTTTGAGAAAAAAAAAACAACTTTATTTTTGACTTTTAGTAATTCAACATGTCCAGTAAAAAAATAAAAAAATAAAATTTCGTCATAAATTTAGGCCAAAATGTATTCTGCTACATCTTTGCCAAAACAATATCCCAATATGTGTAAATTAGTTGGTTTATGTGAAAGTTATAGCGTTTACAAATGGCGGTATATATACTGGAATTTTTTTTTTCTTTTTACTAGTAATGGCGGCGATCAGCAACTTATAGCACGACTGCGACAGGCATTCTGACACTGGGGGGAATTGATTTGGTGTCGCAGACACCTATACAGTGATCATTGCTAATAAAAAGCACTGACACTGTACTAATAACACTGGGCAGGAAGGGGTTAACATGTGGGTGAACAAAGGGTTAACTGTACACTGGAAGTGTTTTACTATGTGTGCTGTGTTTCACTGTAAGCACACTGCTTTGTATGGCTGTGCTATGCAGATCCATACAAAGCAGTGTGCAGGAGCTGACAGGGGCGAGATCTGTGTTGTTTATACACAGGTCTCTCCCCCATCAGTAATTCTCGGAGATCACTGGGTGTTGGCGGGGAATCACCAGCCGGGATCCGGTGATTGACAGCCGAGGTTGCGAATGGTGGTGCAGGTAGGGCATGCATGCGCCCCCTACCTGGAACTGCAAAATCACATATATATATGTAAAATAGGTAAACAAAGTAAAAAAGTGAGCGCTAATCAGTTCAGCAGCTGTACACTCAAGGCAACCAGTAAAACCGCAATAAATATCAAAGAAAATAGTGCAGCGCTTAAATCAATAGTCCTTAGTTATTCCCGATCAGTGGATGTTCCTCAATACGGAATGTAAGAAATGCCCACTCACCGGAACCACACTTGATACAGTGCAGTGTATAATAGTTATTCCCTGGTGTCACTGGAAGTATACATCTGGTGCAGCCCTTGGAAGAGTATCCCTCTATAGATCAGACAGGTCCAGGGTCACAGCAAAATAAGGCTCCGACACAGAGTTCCCCTTAAGGGATGTGTGGGTGTTACTCTTGCAGCAGATAGAACCGATTCCATCCGATTCCATCCAGAGTGGGAGGTGTTATCTGCTGCAAGAGTAACACCCACACATCCCTTAAGGGGAACTCTGTGTCGGAGCCTTATTTTGCTGTGACCCTGGACCTGTCTGATCTATAGAGGGATACTCTTCCAAGGGCTGCACCAGATGTATACTTCCAGTGACATCAGGGAATAACTATTATACACTGCACTGTATCAAGTGTGGTTCCGGTGAGTGGGCATTTCTTACATTCCGTATTGAGGAACATCCACTGATCGGGAATAACTAAGGACTATTGATTTAAGCGCTGCACTATTTTCTTTGATACGTATATATATGTGATTTTGCGCACCTGTGCCGCCCCGTAGCAGTATTTATGCTATAGGGCGGCGTAGAAGCGGTTAGACTTGGTGCATTAGTTTTCTTTTTCAGGCTTCTTCTCCTCTGTTCTCATCTGTGATCTGGCAAGTAACTCACCTCTGGATGAAGAAGCACAAGGACACCTTTGGACAGCAGCATTGTTAATCACCAGGAAGGGGAGTGTTAGATGCACTAATAAACTAATGTATGCTATATGAAATGCCTGTAGGGTAATCAGTACTGAAAAGCAAGTCAGTAGGTTCCACACATACTTTATAAGCAGTTACAGAAATTTTTTTTTAAATTTTGGGATAAAGGTTTTACATAAATAAAAGCGGATCATTGTAAGCACCCCATGAGTAAATGGTTTTACCTGAACCCTTTAACTGCTACATCTACAGCTTGCTCTGTTGAAAAACAACAAACTTTCTATCCAGGTCACCATAACCATAAAATCTAAAAATTGGAATATGGGTGTAACATGTATCATGTTAGAAAATGTGAACTTATCCTTTAAACACCCCATTGTGTGTAGTAGATTATATTATTTACCCCATTGTGTGTAGTACAGTGACCCTGCTGACAATCTTTCCCTGTCTGGTTCTCCTAACCTGGGGGATGTATCATTTCCCTGTCTGGTTCTCCTAACCTGGGGGATGTATCAGACTTCTGTTTCTCTAGTATCTGTCAGAACTCCTTGTGCCCAAAGTCTAAGTTTACCTAGGTTGAGATCCCAATACTTCTTCTATCCCAAAGCATCAGGAAATTCAATACTCCTATGTGAAGAAAAGCGGGATTTTTGTTGCTCACTGTAACATCCTTTTGCTTTGGAGCCCACTGAGGGACAAATGAAGTTTTTCACCTATGGGTTATACTGTGGCCTAGAGGAAGATTGGACAAAGAAACTGTAGGTCAACCCAGGATAACTTCTCCTGGAACCAGCATGCCTCAGTTTTGTAGCAAATTAGTACTGTGATCTCATACATGAAGGGGTGGAATCTGTGTTCCTCATAGGAATGCAATGGGCTGAGGGGTGGGCAACAAAGCAAACGCTAACAGGCTTAAGACAACACTCTCCTCATTGGTGGACACAAGCATTACCACATTGTAGGGGAGAGTAGAGAAAAGAAGGTTTTTATTGGGTTCAAATGAGAACCAGATTCAAATCCCACAGAGTCACAAGAGAGCAAACAGGAGGAGCTACATGGGAAAAAATTCTGAATCAAGGAGTGAAAGACTAACAATCTCTAAAATAGAACAGAAAGGGTAGAGATCTGGTCCTTGATAGTGTCAAGAGCCAAATGATGGTCCAGGTGTACCTGTAGAAGGGAAAGGATTTACCCCACAGTGAAACTCCTACGGTAAAAGACTTTTTAGCCTTTAGCATTGTGGGAATGACTGATTCAGATATGCCTTTTTCCCTCTGAACCTGGGCTTTGACAGCCATATCATTAAAACCAGCGATTGTGAAGTAGGATGGTAAATTGGTCCTTGAGACAAAAGTTTTGGAAGAGCCCACACAGTGTCCACCAGGAGTCTCACCAAGTTGGTAAGACCATATCCACCTGAGCTAGTACAGGACAATGAGGATCTCTGGCAGAACTTTAGTCCCAGACCTTGGGGATGGAGCCAAACTTGAGGGTTCTCAACGTGGAGGGCATGGAAGTCAAGAAACAAAAAGGTATGTTTCTTAACTGACAGCAACGGAAATAACTTTCCAGTCTGTTTCTTAGGCCTATTCTCCTTAGGAAGATGGGTGCTTTTACTACTAATGCTGACCTTGATAATATATCAAAAGTAGATCTGAAGAGATGTCCATCGAAGGCCAAGCGAATCAGACACTTTGGACACAGCTCAGTACTTTACCAAACCAAAGTGGCTTTGCATGTGTACTGACAGAGACCTACGCAAGAGATAAGTCAGGAAGACTCCTTCAGACAATCTCAAATTAAGCTACAGCCATGAATGGACACTTTTATTGTTAGGTGCCATGGAGAATGTAGACTACTAGATACCTGAAGTTGTTTATATTCTATGCTCTTTTCTATGCAAGGAGGGAAATCCTCATAGGCTGGAAGCTTCCTAATCCTCCCACTGTGGTTAATTGGAGAGTGGCAATAAATGTGATCCTGCCTCTGTATAAGCCAACCTATGAAAGCAGACACTTTCCTAAGAAATTTGACAAAATCTGGTCAGCCTGGATGGTTCAGAATAGACTGGTCGTGGGAGAGGATGTTCATTCACCATTATACTGCTTTATTTGTGGCCTTGTGGCCCTGCTCCCCCTTCCCCTCTCCTCCTCCCTCTCTATACCTCCCCTTCGCTTCTCCCCCTCAATTTCCCATTTCCTCTGCTATACGATAAAGATTGAAAAATTTAGGGACCTTGTATGGAAAATGAGGGTTACTTGAAAAGTTTCATGACAATACAAGGAGCCAAGGGAGAGTGTCTGCTTCAAGCCACTGAGTTTACTTTTGGGTTTCTTAACTCCAGCATTTGTCTGTATGGGACTGTAAGCTAGATGGTTCAATGACTCCCATCATGAACTTCTTAAAACTGGACCAAATCCACAGTGAACTGGGGCAGGCATTCACATCTTTTCTCTATATAATAACGGCTGCCTAAAGTAATTTCAAGAGGAGTTTGGTGTAATCTTAATTTTAGCAGTATCTACAAATTCGTCATGTTTTGCCGATGCAGGAAAGGATATACAGTCTTGTACTGGAGCCTTCTCCACTTACTAATATTTTTGTTCAGAGAGGCCTAATACTCCAAGCTTATACCAACCTACTATCTAGATACCTATCCAAATCCCCTCAGAGTAAATCTAGATATGAAGTTGACATAGGTCCTATTTCAGAGGATAAGTGGAAAAAGATTATTTAGAAGATGTTTATACCCCAGTCCAGCCATTTAATGCAATCTTTTATACTCTGTAGGTCATACTGCACACCTA